TCCGAACCACCCCGACGCGCGAAAAAGTCTCGCAAACGCACCCGGAGTTCGCTCGGGCGCGCCCCCCTACAGGGGGGGGGGGTCCGGGCGAACGATAGAATCGGCGGTGGACACTCCTCCCTTCATCGACGTGTCGGGGTAAGAGGTCTGTCGACCTCCGAACCACAACGACGCGCGAAGAAGTCTCGCAAGCGCACCCGGAGTTCGCTCGGGCGCGTCCCCCTACGGGGGGGTTCTGGGCGAAAAACAAAATCGGCGGTGGACAATCCTCCCTTTAGTAAACCTCCCGTCAGCGAGAACGGCCTGGGACCTAAGCCCACGGACCTGGACCCGCAGACATGACGGCCGCGACGCCCTCTCGCGGACCGAAAACGGCCAGTTCCTTCATCGGCGTCTCGGGGTAGGAGGTCTGTCAACCTCCGAATCACCCCGACACGCGAAGCCGTTTCGTAAGCGCACCCAGAGTTCGCTCGGGCGCGCCCCCATGCAGGGGGGTTCTGAGCGAACAATGAAGAAATGCTCAACAGACGCCCCCCAAAATGCTCAAACATACTCCAAAGATCGTCCCCGGACAATATTTTGATTATCTTTGAACGTTCCCCCTGTAGAGGGACGGGCCCGACTTAAACCCAGAGAAGGAATGGTACAGGGCAGGGCGGTTGGTTACTCAGAGCCCAGGGCCGATTAGGAAACGCAGAGTATCGTGTCCGGGTGGTTTCCCCCCTTGAGCGTAAAACAAGAGGCGCGGTAGGGATCTGGGCGTCCGAAGTGGGCACGACGAGCGCGCGTGCGATGCTCAGCAGCAGACGCGGTTCGACGCCGACAGCGCCCGCTGTCAGACAGGCGGCCACTGTCCCAAATGGAGAACGACCGCGGCGACGCCGACAACGAACCTTGCTCAAGATGAGCAAGAACTGCTCTTGGACCTTGTACCCGTTCTTTCCGTACCCGCTTCGATCGTCCCGAAGGGAGGTGCAGGGGCCTCGGAGGGCCCTGCCGACACGTTCCGAGCGGAGCGCGGCCAGCGAAAGTGGCCACGAATGGGCCAAGGAGGAAGGATGCAGGGTGACCGAGGAAAGTCGCTCATCCTATCTGTGCGCCCTGACTGCACAGCGCATACCAGGGCTGAACCTAAGCGATGCCTTTCGTTTTCGTACGGTTTTCGTTGCCCCTCGCCTTTGTCTCGCGTCCGCCTTTGACGCAAAACGACATCGAAACGAAAACGGGCCACAAAATCGCCCAAAATACACCTGTTAGGTCCAGCCCTGGTGAAAAGAGAAAAGTTGAAATGAAATATCCTGTCACTTAAGGGGTAATAATCTCATACATGTTGAGTCATTGCACTGTCCATGCCGGTGCTCGCCTCATCCGCGGGATGGGCGTGGCGTCGGTCAGCATGTCTCCCTTGCCCTGCATACTTTACATGGAGTGCTCTCCAGAAGGGGGGGCCTGCAGGCCCGAGCCCCGGAGTCTCTGGCGGGGGGGGGGGGGCGCGCGCGCCTCTCCGGGGGCACCCCGCCTGCGCCCGCAGGATGTTCCCCATCAGAGGCCAGCGAGCGCCGAGAGCCGGAGAGGCCCCCGGAGGTGCCCCCGAGAGGCCCCCCGAGGGGCCCCCGAGATGCCCGGAGAGGTGACAGGATGCCCCGAAGAGGCCCCCGAGGTGCGTCCGAAGAGACCCCGAGGCCTCAAGGGGCCTCATCTTTTTCATGATCCTCGGCCTCCTTCTCATCCCTCTCCTCCCCCTGTCCTCTCCCAAGCGTTCCCTCTAGGAGTTCCACAACGGCTGGAGGAACACATGTTCAAGTAACTTGGCCAGACTTCGGCCCAACGTTTGGTGTTTGGCCGCATGGGCGTTTCCAATAGGCAGATCAGAAGGCGAACACCCTCCCACCCCAGCCTCAACTCCCACCCCCGAACCAACGATCCAGGGGCTCGGAACTGGGGGTGGGGGTGTTTCCTCGATACCTGGGCACCGAAAAACCAGCTCCACCCCGTCCCCACCCCCTGGATCGCCGGTTCGGCGGTGGGATCGGGACTCGGGGGGGGGGGGGGTTCGCCGCGTGCGCGCTTCCTGCTTCTAGTTTAGACCTCTTCCGCCCTGTCGCCGCGCGCAGGGCCGCGACGCCTAGAGAAGGCTCTCGCCTCCCCACGAGCAGGGGGCGGCGGTGATTCGCCGCAGGCGTCTTCCATAGTGCACCCGCACCACGTCCCCGTCCGCGGCGGCGCGAGCCTCCTCGGCCTCGGCCAGCGCCGACACGGCGAGCCCCCGCCTCCAAGGAGGCAGAAGCTCCCTTGGGGCGGGCTCCGACAAGAACTCCCCAGGCCACCGAAGGTCCCCGGGGGAGCAAAGACGATGGGCCTGTTTTCCGCCACCACCACCATAAGTTGGAGGGGGGAAGGAGGTAGATGACGAGGAGAAGGAGGAAGACGAAGAGGATGATGATGAGGAGGAGGTAGGAAGGGAGGAGGACGCCCTCCCCCTCCAACTTATGGTGGTGGTGGTGCGTTGACTTTGCAGCCTCACCAGGCATCCAGACGACAACGAAGGAGCAGCATGCGGACGTGCTCCCACCGGCGGCGTGCCACTGATGGCTCATAGTTTCCCTCCCGATGCGCGTATCCCGCCCCGCGAGGCGCGACGCGCGGTGATCTTCGCGCCCCTTCAGGCCGCGACGCGCGAAGCGCGGCTGCCTACGCGCCCCCAGTCGGGCGCGGCCTAACCTAAACCGGACACCTCCTCGCCGTTCAAGCTCACCTCCGGCCCACCTCCGGCCGCAAGCATACGTCTTGGGCCGAGGCGAGGGGGACGTCACGGAAGTGGATGGTTTGCCAAGGGTCGGTCAGGCCGCCCCCGACCCAGGGGTGACCCGAGGACTCCGAGGCGACCCCAGCGGTGGCGACGAGGGAGGAGGACAGCGGCGACAGCGGCATCGGCATCGGCACCTCCTCCCCTCGCCTGATTACACTTAGGTCGTGCGTGTCCTCCTACAGGCGGATTTTGGACGACAGAAAGAATAGTCAACAAATACTTCCAAATTGTCAGGAATAGTCAAAAGATCGTCAGCGGATGATCTTTGACTACTTTGGAATAGTTCTCCTGTAGTGGGAAATGCCCCACTTACGATCACACGCAGGAGTGACCCTGGGCAGGAGTGACCCTGTGGAGCGCGGCGTCCAGGGGGCCGCGGGGTCGCGCCGCCTCGCCAGCGCGGGCGGGCCAGTGCTGGGGGTCCTCCTCCTCCTCCTCCTCCTCTCTCCTCCTCTCTCTCTCCTCCTCCTCCTCCCTCCTCCTCCTCCTCCTCCTCCTCCCCTTCTCCTCCTCCTCCTCCTCCTCCTCCTCCTCCTCCTCCTCCTCCTCCTCCTCCTCCTCCTCCTGTGTAGGTCGCTCCGACGAAGGGCACTCTTGCTTGCAGTCGCTCCTCCTCCGACGCCTCCCCGCGGCGCCCCGCGCTCGCGGCGCGCCCAGCAGCGACGCCAGCGCGGCAGCAGAAGATCGCGTCCGACGAAAGGGGGGCTCAGTAGAGAGGGGGGGGGAATAGCGACTCTGCTCGCGAGGCGGACCTCTCCGGCGCCGCCCCGGCGACGGCGGCGCCTGTGCATCGAGGATAACTTTTCTCGGCGGCGGAGCCGAAGCCAGCTGCCTGCAGCAGATGTCTGGCCGTGCCCTCCCCCTACGAGGCCTCCCAGATGGGGCGGCGCAGCTGGGGTCGGACGATCGCGCCGCATCGCCGACACATCGGCGATGCATTGGCGATGCATCGGCGATACATCGGCGAGGCACCAGCGATGCATCGTGGACGTCCGCGGTGCATCGGCGACGCCGGCGTGGAGCAAATGGGACACCGCATCGAGCCGCATCGGCGATGCATCGGCGGCGCGGTGCGATCCTCCGACCCCATCTACTCCGACCCCATCTGGGAGGCCTAGACCTCCACTTCTCCCATACATCCAACGCCCAAATGCTTCAAATCCGCGGCCCCAAAGACCCCGGCACCATCCCCGGCGGCAATGTCTCGCCTGGGATCCGTTCATGCTGGCCCTGGGGCCCGGGGCCAACAAGAACGGATGAGTAGTGGTAGAGGAGGAGGAGGAGGAGGAGGAGGAGGAGGAGGACAGGACAGGACAGGACAGGACAGGACAGGACAGGACAGGACAGGACAGGACAGGACAGGACAGGACAGGACAGGACAGGAGAGGAGAGGAGAGGAGAGGAGAGGACAGGACAGGACAGGACAGGGCATGACATCCGCTTAAGGGGGTTCAACGTCAAAACACCTACGCTGGTGCCCTGCGTGCTTCTGACAAAGGAGAAGGAGGGAACTTACGATGGAGGAAAGAGAAGGAAAGAGAGGGATAGCGAGAGCTGAACGGGACCTGGGCCGAGGGGGAGCACGGGGGCCGAAAAGAAGCGTGGGAGCACGAGGGGACCCCCCCTGGAGGCGGAAACCCGTGCAGGGCATGCAGGCATCTGGGCCCGACCCCCACCCCCGGTCGTCCGACTCGAGAAGAGGCCGCCGCCGCCGCCGCCGCCGGCGCGCGCGCGAGGGCGCCCACGTGGGGGGCAGCGACAGGGGAGGGCGGGCTCAAAGGGGGGGGACCAGCGCGTATGGGGTCAAGAAAGCGCAGGCTCGGGGGCCGTCGACGGCTCGGTCGCTCCCAGAAATTCGTGGGCCGCAGGCAGAACCGCGGTCGCGACGGGCCCGTCCAGAGCGTTCCCGGAACTCTGCGGTAACGGATGATATCTGGGTGAGAGCTTTCCGGAACGCAGTCGAACAATCTGCCACTGCCCGAGCCCAATCCGAAGAAGTCACCCACCGTTTCGGAGGCGTGTTAACGGGGAGCGTTACAGCCACCGTGCTACGATCAAGAGCGCCGAACAAAGAACGACGTGGCTTTTCTGGCAACCGCGAGCCTCGGCCACGAATAATCTCAGGAGGTCTCTTTAGTTTTGATCCCCACCCCACTTTTCACTCGGCGGTGAATAGGACTGGTCCTGAAACCTCTTCCTCCTCCTACCCCCTCTCCTCCTCATCCTTCTCCTCCTCCTCGCTCCTCCTCCTCCTCCTCCTTTTTTCCTCCTAGTCTTCTTCTTCTTCTTCTGTTTCCTTCCTCCTGCTCCTCCTCCTCCTCCTCCTCCTCCTCCTCCTCCTCCTCCGCTGGCGGTTCGGTTCGGGCCCCCCCCCGGCGAGGCATGTGCGCGCCTGGGGGCCGCTGCTTCCCCCCCCCCGGTGTTCGGATTAGGTCGGGCGTGTCCCCCTACAGGGGGAGATTCGACGAAAAATAAAACATACCCAACAAAATGCTCAAAACAATTGCCCAACAGTACTCACAAAATAGTCCTCCCCAGGCGATGCTCTGCCTGTTTTTGCAGTTTCCTCCTGTAGAGGGACAGGCCCGACTTGACCCTGGTGTTCGGGCCAGAGCTCGGGACTCCGGCGGCGGTGCGGGACGACCCGGGCATCCCCACGGCCAGCTCTCGGCGAGGCACGGCCGCCGGAGAGCGGCCCAGGACGCCGGAGAGGAGCCCGCCGAGAGCGGCGGCGGAGAGGTCCGACAGGCACGAACTTCCAGCCACCCCTGGAGCCTATCTCGGGAGCGTACAGGAGGGGGACGTCCGAGAGAGGGGGGGGGGGCAAATCATGGCCGGCGGCATGTGCGCGACCCAGGGGGGGCTCGGGAGGCAATGAGATAAGAGGCGGCGCCATGACATCTGGGCAGATGTCATGGCCCCCGCCATGATGTCCACGCCCCTGGGTCATCACCCCCCTCTTACAGTCAACCCGTACAGTAAGGATGCACGATTAGGTATGCAAGGCGCGAGGGCCTTGGAAGGCCATGCCGACACATTGCGAGCGGGGCGAGGCCAGCGAAAGCGGCCAAAGAAGGGGCCCAAGGGGAAGGATACAAGGGTGACCTTGGAAAGTCGATCATCCTTGCTGTGCGGGTTGACTGTAGCCGCTCCCACCTGGAGCCTTCGAGTAGGGGATCCGACTGCAGAATTGAGTTAGACAAAAAATGGCTTGTTCATCGACGAATCTGCGAACAATGCGTATGATGACGGTAGATCTACGAACATTATGGGCACTTTCGTAGATTCGACAAACAAATCAAATTTGGGGTAAATCAACTCTGTAGTCGATCCCCTACTCATCGATGGCAACTCGTTGGGAGCCTCCCAAGCCATCTTGTCGGCTCTTGCGAGTCGACGCTAAATCGACGCCAATCGACATTGATCGACGCAAAACCACGCTGGGCTGTCTCATCGCCTCCAAGCCGCTAATCGATGGATGCTAGTCGATGATGACGACAAAACTGCAAGGGTATACCAGGCTCCCACTCATCATCTGCTACAGAAAGAGTCGCGCAGCGCGAGCAGACCTACGAACACCTTCGCAGATTCTGACGAACACACCAATCTTGGGGTTGAATCGATTCTGCAAGGGCTCCCAACTTCGCGCGTCGCGCTGCGCGAAGCGCGACGTGCGAATAACTTCGCGCTCTCGCGCCGCCTCTCAGGGGAGGAGAGGAGGATGAGAAGGAATCGGAGCCGAATGGCGAAGCGCGAATAACTTGACGCCCTCGAGGCCGCCCTTGATGCTGTAGTCGATATCCCCTGCTCGAGGCCACGTCCCCCCCCTCGAGGGCGCCCTTGATTCTGCAGTCGACATCCCCAGCTCGAGGCCACGTCCCTTCCCCCTCGAAGGCGCCCTTGTTTCTGTAGTCGATATCCCCAGCTCGAAAGAAGCCAATGCCACGTCCCCGACGTCCCCCCCCCCCCCCTGACGCTGCCCCGACCCGCGCGCGCTGGCCGCGGCGCCGGCCGCGGCGCGCCGGGCGGCCGGCGAGCCGCGCGGCACGCGCCGGCGTGCGGGCGTGGGGGGCCGCCGGGGCCAGGGCGCGCAGGGCCATGGCCCCGGCGCCGCGGTGGAGGGTCGGGGATGGACAGACCTCCCTTTAGCAAAACGCGGTTTGGTGAAAAAACGACCTGAGGCCCAAACCTGGCGGGCGCAGGCCTGGAGAAGAACGGCCGCGGCGCCCTCTCGAGAACCGAAAACGGACAACTTCACTAATCGACGTGTCACTGTTGGGGGTTCCGTCCACCCCCGAGAGGGCCGCGGGCACAGGCGAGCGGCGCTCGTGCACAGCGGGCCTCGGCCGCGAGGCGCGGCGCGGCCAGGGAGCGACACCGCCCGGCAGACAGGCGGGCGAGCGTGCTTTGGTTGATTCGGCGTGTCGGCGCTGGGCGGCAAGAGGGGGGGGGGGTCGAGGG